AACAATCTCATACATCATCTGGCTCCTCTAGCAGTGTGTTCAATATATCATCTGCTTTCTTTTGCTGACTTTTCTTTTCAGAATAAAGAAATTAACTTGGGCTGCATATAAGATGTAAAATGTAGGTAATATATGTAAGTAATAAAGCTTATTTTTTCAGGTTTTATTGTAACTCTAAAAATCAGAGAACAGAAAGCCAGAGGAAGACTGCAGGTGGATCACAGGGCATGAGAATAGGTTGGGGTATGGTTCCTATGAGAGACAGCGGAGAGGTGTGGGTATCTACTGAGTTATTTCAGGAACTCAAAAGGAAGCCTGCATGCCTTGTGGGAGAGTTGACCTTTGTTAGTCAGGTGAGAGGCCTGGAAATACTGGGGCACTCTGTGGCCTAATGAGATGAGGACAGTTTCTAAATTAGGAATTCCAAATAATGCCAGCAGGTAGCTAAGTTCACTGGCGTCATAGGTCAGCAGATGAGCACAGAGTGTCTGCATATCTGCTTGACCCTGGAGAGACAATGAGACCACAGTGAGCTCTGCAGCCTGTGTTACCCTGGAAGTTTTCCACTTGGCTGACAATACATCTCGCTTTATTATCATTCCATTCTGAAACTGAGTCAGTGCTGGATAAAAATTTCCCTCTTCCTATCTCAATTCTCCAATCCCATTTATCGCCTTGGGCTTATATCAAACTTGAACAGTTTCTTTGGAGTGAATTAAAGCAGAATATTTAATCAAACGCTCCAGTTTTGCCTACGTTCTACTTAATTGAAACAGTGTTCTATGACACTTCCCCTTTCCTTCCTATGAAATATTTAAAATGCTTTAGATTTCTTCTTCCTGAAGAACTTTATCTATGTAAGCTACATAAACCAAGGATTGTTTCCAAGTTTTATACTACGGAGACTCAGGATTTTAGGTATATTTTAAATTTGGTTAAATTTGTCTTTTTCCTTTGAAAAATTAGTAGACTATAGAATCCATCACTTATTTAAAGAAAGTAGAATACAACCCTAAATATCAAACAGCAGTAAAGGAAGCTATCAGCTTTAATATTATACACAGCAGTTTTAAGAAACATCTGAATTTTTTTTTTTTTTTTTTGTCTTTTTCCTTTTTATCGGTACCGGGGATCGAACTCATGACTGCCTGCTTGCAAGGCAGGCGCTTGAAATTTGACCTACTTAGTCAGAGATTATAAGTTATTAAAAATGTTTGCACACAAAATGTCTATAAACCATGAGGAACTTTGTCTTCTTTTTTCTGAGCTGTGTCACTTCATGAAGTAGGCTTTGGGGTCTGACCCATCAGTGTGCAGCTGTCCCTGGATCCTGTGTAGCCGGGAGCCCGGCTTGCTGTGATCTCAGGAGACTGCTCCTTGCAAAGAGGCTGTGCTGGCTGATGGTCCCAGATTGGCTGCTTTCTTTTTGTGTCTAACTGCTAGAAATAAATGTTGGCTTCTCAGTAAGCAAGTGTAATACTGCATTGTCTCCCTGGTGTGAGATACGGAAAGAAGAAATAAGGACCAGTGCACTAGATATTGTGAAATAGGAAGAAATTTTTCAAAAGGTATGTAGAAATAGGATGAGAAAGGAGGAAAGTAAGGAAGGGAGAAGAAAAAAGGATAAAATGGAAACAGGGCTTTGGAAGGTGTGCATGTTGGGTCAGCGTCATCCTAGCGGGGGTGAGGTGAAGTCTCACTTTCATTTTCCTTTTCCCTGGTGATTCCTGATGATGAACTCTTTTTCATGTGCACATTCACTCTAGGCACGTCTTTTCTAGATATTAGATATGTTTTAGGCTCATAATTTGCAAACATTTCTCTGGCTCCATGTTCTGCCTTTCATCATGGTGAGGTATTACATGTGGGTGCAGAAGATATTTAGGCTGGTTTTGTCCACTTGGGAATTTTTCCAAGTTTTACCAATTTTGAGGTAACAACCAAAAACCCATTGTTAAACCCAAATGAAAGGAATGTGTTCCCCATTGTATTTGGAGTGCTCTATAATTCTAGGCTTCCATTTAAATCTTTAACTGATTTTGCCGTGGCTACTGTGGGAGTAGTGTAGAAAAGGGTCTGGTTCAGTTCTTTTGCAGTTCCTCACTTCATCTATGGAAGAAATTGACATGAATGGCTCAGCATCTGTAGACAGCTTGTTAGAGATTTTCATGAATTAAGCAGGAAATCACACTCCAACCATTTTGCTAAGATCGCTAAACAGAGTAAAACTCATCTGATCCCAAGGTCACATGTGTGACGTGCTGACACTGTTCTCTAGGGACCAGGTGGTCATGGTAATGATAATAGTTAGTAATCTGAGTAGTGAGATTCATAAATCATTGGCTGTGACCAATAAGTCGTGTCACCTATAGAGATGAAGTAGCTGAGGAGGTCAGCATCTTATTCGATCTGTATAGGCATGAAGGTCTAGGTCTACCATATAGTTATGGCACCTCATTTCTTCTCACCTAGAGTTCTTTGAATGATATGAAATATAATCCTGATAATTACTGTGGCTAGATTGCCAAAGATGTGCAGTGACAGCCTCCCACTCTTCCAGAGGGACCTATGTCATTTCCTAAGGTGGATGAATATTGGGACCAGAGCAGTGTTAGATATTGCAGTAGTTTATGGACACCGTGTATGAACTAACAGTGTATTCTATAAATACTAAGTGTCACCGTGAATTATCAGACTGAGGGGAAGTTAATAAACCTGGTCAACAGTGGAGTCTTTCTTGAGTGCTGCATATTATTTTTTGTTTCTGTCTCTGTCTCTCAGCCTCTCTCTCTCTCATTCCTCCCTCGCTTCCTTCCTTCCTCCCTTCCTTCCTTCCTTCCTTCCTTCCTTCCTTCCTTCCTTCCTCCCTTCCTTCCTTCCTTCCTCCCTCCCTCCCTCCCTCCCTCCCTTCCTTCCTTCCTTTCTTCCTTCCTTCCTTCCTTCCTTCCTTCCATCCTTCCTTCCTTCCTTCCTTCTTTCCTCTGCCAAGGAATGAGCCCATGTTACATGCACTTAGCGCCATTCTCTGCCATACTTTATCTTGTAAAACCGGGTGGTACTGTGTTATAAAATTGTCTAAGTTAAATTTAAACTTGCTCTCCTCCTGCTTTTGTCATGGAGAGTGCTGGGATTATAGGTGTGCACCACTACACTCAGCCAGCTTCAAGATTTCTCATGTGAAATTCACTATCACTCAGAAATTGTTGTTGCCTTGAAAACCACAGATGCTTTCTGGTTACTTAGAATATTTTGTCTTTGTTTGCATTTTTAGCATCTTGGATATGATTAAGATTTAAGACTTTCTGAAGTTGTTCCACAGGAGATCTGGGGTTTCTTAAATTGGAAGGTAATCGCTTTCAACAAATTCAAAGAGTGTTCAGGCATCCTCAGCCCAAGCTACTTCAGAGTTTCTCCTACTTATTGGTGAAAATCTACACATAGTTGCACCCCTCAGCTGGCTGATGTGCTCCGGGCCTCTCTGTGTGTTCTACTCACCAGTTCTCAAGGGTTCTGTATCCTGTAGCCCACTCCATTAGGTTTCCAACAATTTTATTTCATGCTTCTCTAGTTTTAAGGATTTTCTGCTCATGATTTTGGATATGATTTTGACTGTCTCAATTTAATTGTAAATTTAGCAGAAAGTGTAACCTCACTTGTTTAGAGAAGATGAACTTCAGATAAACTTTAACCATTTCTTGTCTGTAGTCCTAGGACTTTTCCTTAGTCCTGTACATATTTTCCATTTGTGATGCTCAATAGTCTCTTCAGATTGTAGCTCCTCGGTGGCATTTCTAACTTCATTTTAAGGATTTACATTTCTACCTCAGATCGTATGACCAATAATCATTTCAAAAATTGCTTGTTTTGTTCTTCAAGCTAGACATTAGGAAAAGACTGCCAGATGAAAACTATGAAAATTAGAGAAATTTTTTCCTATAGTTGTATGAAAAAGATACACTTCTAAAAATATTGGAGTGTGACATAATAACATTAATTATTTCTTTAAAATCTGTGTGGACATGGTACAACCAGTCATGATTAAACGACACTCAGCCTGATCTACTAGAGAATTAAGATCCAGACATGTAAAAGGCCTGAAGGGAAATAGAAGAGGAAATCTTAATAATCCAACAGCTTCTCTTTAATTCATTTGTAGTATTTGCTAGTATGAATATGTGAAATCATGAAAATATTATAACATAGTTGCAAAAGTGGATTGATAGTAGTCTTGTTAACAAAATTATGCATTTTTAGGCATATGTATATTTGTACAAATTTAAGAAAATTAAAAAGCGAATTCTTAACACAAAACAAAAATGACTATTGGTGCTGGATACCATAAATACTTTCACGAAAGATGTCTTGAAGTAAACCACATTTAACATTAATATTTCATTAATATCCTTTAAAAAGTTAAAATGATCTGCAATTCAGGTAATCTAGAAAAAATGAAATTCTACTATGTCTTTAAGTATATGCTTTCTCTCTAATGAGACAACTAATCTTCTAATTACTTTCATTTGTAAAGAGTCTCATAAAGTCATCACAATACAATTGAATGTAATATCACATTCCATTTTTGGTAAATGGTACTTATAGTATTTTATGCTATTTACAGATAGAACCTAAATGATCTCATCACATAAATTCACAGTTCACACTTTCCTTTCTTTTTCAGGTTTAATGCACAACCCTCTGTCATGCAGGCATCCATGGGTGTTTTTCAGTAACAAGCAAAATGCCCTTTTTACAATATATTTATGATTGCTTTGAAAACAGTACTGCAATGTATGTTTTCCATTCAGTTTCCATAAAAGCTGTTTTCTGCAGGGCTGCAGTCTGTGCAGTGAGAACACAGCTGAGGATTCAGTAACTGCTTTGTTAGCTCAGAGCACTCACCAGTGTCTTTCTATGAGAATACAAGTGGACATTTTCATCTACTTACAGTGAATTTCTTATTACCTACAGCACAATAAAACTGATAGTTGCTTCCAACTTACCTAAGGAAAGGGCCAAGGAATACACAACTTTTCAGTGTCCCTTGTGTTCCACAGAGGTCGCCTGCACTCAGTCAGGTGTCCTTCTCTGTGAATCAGCACAAATGGGCTGACAATTGCATAACCAAGGTTGATAAAATTCCAAATATATAATAAAAAGGAATTATTCTCCCGGAAAGAAATAACAAACAAAGAAAAAACAAAATCTGTACAATAGAAGAAAACAAAGCAGAGCATCAGAAGGAGCACACTTTTAGAGGCTCTGACCTCAGGGGCAGCTTTGTGGAGTGACTTGGAGATCTGTAGGCAGAGAGCACGCTGGTGGTGTTTGTGGAGAAGAAAGATGATGTGGACACTGGCAGTGCCCATAGTGGCCAAAAACATGATGTCTCGTACTACCATGGCTGCAAGAAATGTCCATTTCACTTTTGGGTTTTCTGGTTGAAAAAAACAGGGAACATAGTTCATATTCCCTTTTGATGAATTTTTGCTTATACTTATGATATAAAGGAGTAAGTTCATGCCTATTGAAGAATTGAGAATCCAAAAGAAAAGACACAAGGGAAGGAGGTGCCATGCAGAACTGGGCTGAAGCTTCCTCCATCCCGACTGTCTGGGACTCATGGTGATGGCCTGGACCACCTTGAGGAGGCCTGTGGTGCAGATGGAGAGGCCTCGGGCTATTCTTGACAAGTAAACAACACTCTTACAGCCTGTGTCATCTAGGAAGTTCCTCACACCCAAAACGGCTAAGGTACCTGGCACTCCCTGGGAAAGCAGAGTCATGATATTTGTAACAGCCAAATGGATGAGAATGAGATGTATAGGTTTCATCTCACGGCCTGCAAATACATGCATGTACTTCACAAAAACAAAGATGTTCCCCATAGTCCCAAGTCCAGTAAGCCAGGCAGAGATTGCTCCCTTGACAGTGTTAGATGTCATTTCTACCCTAATAGGCAAAAATGGATCCAGCACATGCATAGCTTTCTGAAGAAAGCTTCAGTAATAATGACACATATGTATCTGTGACACACAGTATCAGCAATATTCCGGCCTGTGAGAGACAGCAGTGTTGTACAAAGATGCAGATTTTTTTGAAAAGACTCTGTGACTTTTGCTGCTTACTCCTGCAGGCTATTCCAGTCAATTCTAGTTGCTGGTCTGGGGACTTGTATTCACAACTGGAAGTTAATAAGCCAGATTATCTTTACCTCCAAAGTTGTAAAACATGCTACTCATTCAAATCATTATGTACTCACCTATGTACAACAGAAATACACTTAACTGAAACCCAAATTTTCCCAAGCAGGATGGCTTCCTATGCTTGCATTTAATCCTATCCGATTCCCATCAATTAAGTTCAAAAGACCATGGGTGGTACAAAATATTGTCACTCAATGAGTGTTATCATAATATCTGACGCCTGTGGTGTGACATTGGAACATGTTTCTGTTAACTTTGAAGCTGCTTCTTCTGTGTCTTATTTTCCCAGTCAGTACAATAACAGCAGTGCTGCTTTGATCTTTCTCAGCTAAAGCTGCTAGTGTGTGTGGTTCAGACCTGGAGAGCATTTTATCTTTTAACAACAAGGATCTGCAATGTCACTTTGTCACAGGGTTAATTTATGGCACATTGTTTACTGTACTTCCACAGAAAGCTAAGGGATTCTGTTAGATTTCTTTGCACTGAAAGCCTCTGAGAACATAAAGTACACAGAAATAGGTTTGACCACAAGATTGGCTCCAGTTGATGTGATACCTACAGGACACCAGATTTTTTTTTTTTTATTTAAAGACACAGAAATAGTGAAATGATTACAGAACATGGTTATAGTAAATTGGCAATGGTTAACATAGTGTGTTTTGCTGTCTTCCAAGTTGCTCATATTCTCCAGGTGAACACCACAGAGCACAGCGACCTGTCCCATCACGTACTGTTTTGCCCTCAAGAGACAAGTAGAAAATTCTTCTCTACTTCAGAGCAGCATAGAAACAGGACATTGTGCTCACTCTCTAGCACAGAATGAAATAGTATACAAGTTTTGCCTAGCTCAGCAGCACTGACTTGTAAATCTAGAATAAGAACTGATTGAGTATTCAGAGAATGGAATTTGCTAAAAACCACTGTGACTAATGCATTTCAACATACTGAAGGCATTTCAGTGCTGTCCTGTTTGTTTTTGTTTCTGAGTCTGTGGTCCAGGGATCCCTGCTTTCACCAGCTCCCTCCTTCTTTCCTCATAGTCCAAAGCTCTGAGTCATACTAACCCCAGATGTCAGACACTCAGACTGTTGTCAAAACATCAGAGGAGAAAGAAGTAAATTCTCACTCAGCATGACATGGGAAATATTTTTTAAATACCATTTTTAAAGACATGCATCTCATTTAAATACTTATGGGATGTACAATTTGATTGGAATAATTACGCTTCAGGAAGACTAGAGAATTTATCTCAGGTCCAAATTTTCATGAGTAAAACACTGAAGTTAATGCTCTTTGTTTCTTAGCAGTAGAATAAAACTAAAGCAAATTATATCCTGCTATTGAAGCTTGAAACTATGGGCTCCATTGTTGCAGGTCTCTAAAAAGCAACTGTAATTTTAATTTTTAGGAATCTTTACTTGTCCCCATGTTCAACATATGTATAATAATTTTAAGTCAACATGAACATATATTTTGTGTTAGCTTAAGGAGATTTATACCTACATGCAGAGATTAGATTAAACAGTAAGGAACTAAAGGAATATACAGTATGGTGAAGAGTCACACAGTTAGCCCATATTGAAGAACAGAATTGCACCAAACCTGAAACATCCACATTTTATGCTGTGATGCCGACAGAGTCCTAGTGCAAGGCAAATCTGAGGAAGAACAAAACAATGTTTCAAGGAAAGTCAAAGGCTTCTACAGCTTTCTGATTGCTCAAGTCATGCAAGGAGGAAACATTATGCAAAGGAAAATACATCAGTTCCCCAGTGCTGTCTGCATCAAGGCACAGGGACAGAAATGGTTTGTTATGTCTGCAGTAGTGATTTCTAGACCTGCTGCCCCTTTTTACCTGAGCTTCTGGCATTTTAAAGATCTCAGGAAGAGTGAGTGTCCTAAGGCTCACATATCTTCTGAACAACTTCTTGCTCAGGCAAACATAGATAAGCTTTAGGATTCTGAGAGAACATCTGAAGATAATTTGATGTGAGTAAATGCATTTGCTGGGCTACTCACCTTTCAAAGTGTGGTGTACTCAGTTCCTTGATGAGTCTGCCTAGGAGATGTTTCTTCATCCCCTGTTTTCAAGGTGAGGCTCCCGTCATATTTATATTTTCAGGTTTGTTGAGCTCCTGGCTATGGTAAGTTCTCTGCTGGAGTTTAATTTTCAGTACTGTCACCCTGTCAGGAGAAGGAAAACCTCTGCAGAACCCTAGTCCCTGGTGTACAGCTTTCCCTCTACCGCCGCAATTACACTGTTGTTTGGTATAGATATTTTCTGAGGCTCAATTGGGCCTTAATTATTTTCAGAGAAGATTGCACAGTGACACAGTAAAGATCCAGTCATCAGATTCTCCCCTCAGTTCACAAAGCTCCAAGTCATGAGGTAGAATCAGGAGCAGTTTCTCAATGATGGAATGAATTGCTTTCCTCTCCTTCTCAAGGCAGTGAGGAGTGATGATTACTCTGCTTTCTGAGCACAGCCCAGCCTGCACATGGGCAGGGTCAAGTCATCCCGCTTTTTTTTCCCTTTGGTACCAGGTATTGAACTCATGACAATTCACATGCAAAGTTATGTGGCTGAGCTAAATCCCCAGCCAAGTTATCCTGCTTCATCAGTCTATGAGCATTGGCCATTCGTGGTCTTTGCCACAGTTCTGCTTTACCACCCCCTGAGTGCTCCATGGGAAAAGGAATCCTAAACCCAGGGAGATTCCTGCTTTCAGTCAACCATACTTGCCCTGCACTCCCTCAGTCTGCACCTGTGTGCGTGTACCTTCAGGGGTGAAAACCTTTGCTCCATTAACGAAAGAAGAGCCTATGATAAAATAGCATTTGCAACTCCAGTTTTCAAAAAAAGAAATCAAGGCAGAATTACATGAAATCGGTGTCAAAACACATAGTAAGCCAAATGAAAATATAATATGAAATACTCCCTGGGGACAAAAAAATCACCTTTAGCTCTTCTTCACTCATGCATATTTTTGTAGAAACTGGGCATTTAAAAATTATTTGTAGACCTTTTCGATGTAGAGACATCTTCCCCATGCTAGTTTTCCTTTCAATTTTACACCCCAAGAAGCCTCCTCAAAGCCCTGGAGAAGTTAGAAATGTCCTCATGCAGGAGCACCTTCCCCTTCTCCAACTTTGCATTGAAGTCATGGATTTTCAGTTCCTGGGTGCTTGCTTCTGATTTGCAAACGTTTTCTCTCCCATCGCATTAAAAACACTTTGCTTATTTACTTTCTGATCAGTGTACTGTATGTTGATATACATCACATTTTGTTTAACCGTTCAAGTGCTGACAGGCACCTAGGCTGGTTCCATGGCTGGTTATTATGGACTGCACCTTAGTACCCCTGGCTGTCCAGCGTCTGGATCCTTACTCGTTCTTCCAGGCGTACCTGAGGGGAGGCATAACAGGAATGAACAGAAACTCCTAACAGAATTCTACAGTCGCTCTATAATTTACACATCTGCTTTTTCCATGCTTCGATTGATGAGTCTTTGAGTTGTTTCTAAGATTTCACTATTGTGTACTGTTCTATTATAAACAGGGTTGCGCCTGTATCGCTCTGGTATGATGTTTCTGATTCTTCCAGAAAGATACCCAGAAGTGGAATAAGACGTCTAACCCCCCTGTATTCTGAAGAATCTCCAGACTCAACCAGTCAATAATATTGGAGAAGGGTTTCCTATTCCCCACAGCTCCATCAGCATTTCTAATTGTTTCATATCTTGATGGCTGCCGTTCTTTTTCGAGAGAGATGAAATCTCACCATTGTTTTCATATTCATCTCTCTAATAACCAGTGATGTTGAATATGTTTATATGTTTATTAGCCATGTGTATTTCTTCTTCTAAAACGTGTAATTCATCCCAGATGCCCATGTTTGGGTAGATTCTTTATTCTGGGTGGAGATATCTGATAATATTTTTCAGTTTTTTATATGTTCTAGATAGAAATTCTTTGCCTGAAGGACTGCTAGCTAGCATTTTCCCACTCTGTGGAGTATCTTTTCACTCCCTTTTGTTTGGTGATCTCTTTTGTTGTGCAAAAGTTTTTCATAGGATCAGATTCCATTTCTTGGTTCTTTGTAGAATCTCCTGTGTGATTGGGGATTTTGTCCATGAAATCTTTGCCTGCATGCATTCCCTAAAGAGTTCTGCCTATTTTCTCTTCTTGAAGGTCTAGATTTCTGCTTTAATATTTAAATCCTTGATATGTTTTTTTTTTACTTTTGTTTAGTTCATAGTGTTAGGCTTGGATCTAGGTTTATTGTTTGGCAGGATGAAATCCCGAATTTTTGGCATCATTCATTTTGGACACTTTCCTATTCCAGTGAAGGTGTTTGGCTCCTTGTCAAAGATAATTTGGCTGAATTTATTTGGAGTCATTTCTATACTTTCTAATCTGTCCCATGCTCCATGGATGCTCGGATATATTTTGGTGTTTTTCTGTTACTTTTGTTGTCATTGTTTTTCTTTTTGCAAGTAACACATTGTTTTTATTACAGTAGGTTTTTAGCAAAATTTCAAGGAAGATATTGTAATTTTCCCTGCATTACTTTTGTTGCCAAGAACTGTTTTTGGTCATTTGAGTCTCTTGCAGTTCTAAATGAAGTTGAGGAATATTTTCTCTTTTTTTTAGATGCATATAACTGATGGTTTTTCTTGGAATTGCAGTAAATCTGTATAACAATATTTAAAGTATGGTAATTTTCACCATGTTGGTTCTACCTTTCCATGAGCAAGAGATCTTTTTGTTTTCTGAT